CCAACAAGATGTTCCTGAGAACATCTAGAGCCAAAGAAGCAGCCCTAGATGGCGGCTTCCAGATGTATTATGAGAAGACCCCATTTGATCAGCTAGCTTTATTGAAGAGCTCTTTTCCCTCATGGTTGTCAACCGTCTGACAGGAGAACTCGGCTGTGATGAGATTATTGATCAACAGTAAGGTCAGGGCTGTTAAAAGAGGAGAAAGCTACTTGAGGAGAGACTCACACACTATTATTTGCGGGGTTCATACGAAATAGTTCTATGCCAATGGAAAACTTGATCTTCAAAAAAAATTTGTTTTAGTTTGTTTTGCAGAATCGAATAGGACAGTGATTACATAATTGTGAGAAAGAAAGACAATCCTTAAAAAAGAAAAAGGATCAGAGGACTGTGGAAATTGGTTTCTAAGCGTGTCCTGAAACACCCAGGTCTTATTTTCCTGGCATTGGGGGATTGCTTGTTCCTATCTGCCTTGCTGTGAAGGATGGTTTTGCAAGAACAAGGCATGATCAAGACAGTCTGCTAATAGAAGAACCCACTGATAATTTATGTGATGAGAAAAAATCACGAACATGCCCAATTCAGGATATCTGAATTATCTGGACTGGCAGTCTATTGAGAAAACTTTGGAAATTCTGGTTTTGTGATCTATTCAAGTCATAATTATCAAAAGTATTAGTATAACAAAAGTTTAGCTTTCATCAGTTTTTCAAAAGGACAAAACAAAAAAAAGAAGCATATGCCTCATGCAGTATCTTTATATGTGTTTCCAAGAGTTTCTGAAGTTTTGTTTATATGTGTTGTTTTGATTAGAATTCGAGAAAATCCATGTTGTGAGCGTTTTAGAAAGTGAAAGATTAAGGCCCCCTTAATTAAAACCTTTAGATGTTATTACGTTTTGTGAAAGTACAAAGAAAATATTTCAAAATACTCTGACACTAGAGAAGACTTCTGTTTTGCTCTTCTGTTTTTCACTTATGTGACAGGAGAAAGATCCCAGATGAACTTCATATTGTATGAATTGTTGGTGAACGTTGTCATGTAAAAGGAAAGTTGTACATCTTTAAAAGGCTGTGAATAATTAAGCTATCAACTTGGTTACGGTTTTCAACCTGCCCAGAAATCCACCTCAGTATCTGACATTTCCTTTCCTGTTCTCCTCCTCTAAATTAAACTTGTTATTTTTATGCACCAGCTGCTTCTGTGTAAAAAAAAAAAGAATTACAGTCTTGGAAACCCAGAGGAGCAGGTCCACTCTGTGACAGGGGGTCACTATGAGTCAGAACTGACTGAAGGGCAGTAGGTTACATGAGGCCAGTATGCCACTTCACTTGGATGGCAGGCTCTCAGAAAAGTCCATGCCTGAATGAGTACTCAATTATCATCAGCCTTTGTCATTACTCAGAAGTTTGGGTTGAAATGGAGGAAGAGGTGTGGAGTTCCAGCTGCTGGCTGACACCCTGGGGTGACTGTGAAGCAGTTTTCTTGGAACCCCAATGTTGGGAAAACGGTATGAAAACCAGTGAAGCCGAGCTTAGAGCATGGGCTCTACAAACTACAGCCTGCAGGCCAAGTCCCATGTTCCACTTGTTTTTATACTGCCTGCCAGCTATGAATGTTGTTATTGTTAAGTGCCGTCGAGTCGGTTCCGACCCATAGCGACCCTGTACAGGGTTTCCGAGGGTATAAATCTTTACGGGAGTAGAAAGCCTCATCTTTCTCCCGTGGAGCAGCTGGTAGTTTCGAACCGCTGACCTTAAGGTTCGCAGCCCAATTCGTAACCACTACGCTACCAGAGCAATTTCAATAGATATGAAAAGTAAGGAGTTCTGGTGGCATAGTGGTTAAATGCGTGGCTGCTAACTGAAACGTCAGTGGTTCAAACCAAGCAGACATTCCCTAAGAGGAATATGTGGCAGTCGATTCCTGGTGTAGCACTGTAGGATCAGCACTGGACTGTGAACCACAAGGTCAGCAGTTCAAACCCACCAGCCATTCTCGGAACCCCTATACAGGATCACTGTGTGTCAGAGCCAACTCGATGGCACACAACAACAGCGTATTTACTTCAATGCATATCTGAAATTATAGGAAGTTGAGTGAATGGGACACTTTAGTCCTGACACATTAGCATTATTTGTAGCATAAGACCCCTCTTTTGTTTTACTTATTTTATCCCCTTGTATCCCATTTCCCACACCCATCTTTCCTATAAAACCTTTCTGATGGATTTCAAGTGTAGTTTTCCATCTTTTTATGTTCTTACAACATGTTTTGTTATTTGTCTGTGTTTTACAATTTATATAATGTCCTGATGTGGCACTGTGGGTGAATGCACTGACTGCAAGGTCAGTTTGAATCACAAAGTTGGTGGTTCAAGCTCATCAGCCACTCCTTGGAAACCCTATAGAGTTTTTATAAGTCAGAACCAACTCGATGGCTTTTAACAACAACATAATAATTTTGTTCTATATTTCATATCGGAGTTTTCTCCCTATCCCAATTATATTTTATATGTAACTATGTGATCAGCTCAATGTAAAGAAAACAAAAGTCCTCACCACTGGACCAATCAACAACATTCTTATCAACGGAGAAAAGATTGAAGTTGTCAAAGACTTCATTCATCTTGGATCAACTATCAACACTCACGGAAGCAGCAGTCAAGAGATCAAACGACGTATTGCATTAGGCAAATCTGCTGCACAGGAACTTTTTAAAGTATTGAAGAGCAGAGATGTCAGCTTGAGGACTAAGGTGCGCCTGACCCAAGCCATGGTGTTTTCAATAACCTCATATGCATGCGAAAGCTGGACAGTGAATAAGGAAAACCATAGAATTGATAGGTTTGAGTTGTGGTGTTGGAGGAGAATATTGAAAGTGCCATGGGCTGCCAAAAGAACCAATAGATCCGTTTTGGAAGAAGTGTAGCCAGAGTGCTCCTTGGAGGCCAAGATGGCCAAACTTCATCTTTCATACTTCGGACATATTGTCAAGAGGGACCAGTCACTGGAGAAGGATATCATGTTTGGTAAGGTGGAGGGTCAGAGAAAAAGAGGATGACCCCCAGTGAGATGGATTGGCCAAGTGGCAGCATCAATGGACTCAAGCGTGGCAACAGTAATGAGGTTGGCTCAGGATCGGGCAGTGGTTCGTTCTGCTGTGCATAAGGTCGCTATGAGTAGGTACTGACTCAATGGCACCTAACAACAACAACAACAATATGATCAGTACTGGGCTTCAAACTACAAAGTCAGCAGTTCAAATCCACCTGCTGCTCCTCGGAAACCCTATACAGGGTCACTATGAATTGGAACCAACTCGACGGCACTAAACTACAGCAACATACAGTTATCCTTTCCTCCTAAAAATAGTAGAGCATTCAGTGGTGGGTTGTTGTTGTTGTGAAGTGCCGTCCAGTCAGTTCCAACTCATAGCGACCCTGTAATAAGGTTTCCAAGGAGCGGAAACTTTGTGATTCAAGCCAACCTTGCAATCCAGTGTTTTATCCTACAGTGCCGTACCAGGACTCCCAATGGTGGGTAGCTATCACATTTTATTTACCTCTTTACTCCACCATATAAGATGAGGCTATCTGCTCCCATAAAGATTTATAGTCTGAGAATTCCTATGTTGTTGTTAAGTGCTGTCGAGTTGGTTCTGACCCAGAACAACACTGTATAGGGTTTCCAAGGAGCAGCTGGTGAATTTGAACCCCCGACCTTGCAGTTGAGTGCTTATCCTGCGGCACCACACCAGGACTCTTCAGAAACTCTATGAGCAGTTTTATTTTGTCCTTTAGGTTTGCGTTACATCGGCATTGACTCAATAGTAGTAGGTTTAGTATATAGTAAGCAATCAAAGGAGCTCTGGTAGCATAGTGGTTACGAATCGGGCTGTGAACCACAAGGACAGCAGTTCGAAACTACGAGCTGTTCCGTGGGAGAAAGATGAGGTGTTCTGCTCCTGTAAAGATTTTCAGCCTCAGAAATCCTGCACAGGGTCACTATGAGTCGGAACGGACTCCACAGTACTTAACAATAACAGCAAGCACTTAATAAATGTGAATTTTTTTAAAAAGCAAGATACTATGTTTGACTTATCCGGTTCTCATTTGCTACTACTATTATTAAAACCCTAGCCACCATACCCCACTGCTTCTTCCAGCATGAGACCAGAAGAACTAGATGGTGCCTAGTTGTCATCGCCAAATGTTTCACTTGGGGACATAAGAGATGGATCCTGATAGAGGAAAAAAAAAAATGTGGACCAGAGTTCAAATCCCTAAATAATCCAGACTTACTGGAGCTGTTGAGGGTGGAAGGATCCCTGAGATTTATCGCCCTAGGGTACTTTTCAAACCATGATACAAAACTATCCTCTGGAAGGCATCTTTAAACAAAACAGTAGTAAGGAATGTCACCTTAAGTGTTGTGTTTTAGAAAATATATAACTAGATGACATCAGAAGGAAAACAATAACTCTAGAGCCCAGATGAGAAGTTCGGGGCTGTGAGTTCAAATTAATGGTGGTGAAACTATTCAAGCAGAAATCAGGAGGAAGTGATGTGAAGAAAGTGACCGATTTCACTGGACAACATGTGTAGAAACTGTACAATGGAAGCATGTTTTGACGTGTATATTTTCACCAAAAATGAAATTAAACTGAAAAATAAAAATACTCGGCACAATTTGTACCATTCCTTCAGATAAAGTAATCTGATACCCAGCTGTTGTCTTGAGATCTTAGGATGGGCCACAAATCTTTCTAGGTCATCTTAGTCCAATTTTTGAAGCGCCAGACTTTCCGTTTCAATCACACTTAATAAAATGAAGCTTATATAAGGGGAAAAAAAAACACTTGGCACACAGTAGGTGTGTTCAGTCCATGGGCATTGTCTTTGCCCACCCTGATAGAATCTGGACATCCGACTCCCCCACCCCTATCCCCAACCCCATACTGGTGGAGGCGGCCCCTGGCCCTTTGCAGAGCCTCACCTGCATTCTCGTCACTCTCCCTGCTGAGGTCTTTCCGAGCCTCCTTCTGGCCAAAGAGACTCTTGAGGATGGCATTGGCGATGGGCAACATCATGGCTGTGGAAGCGGTGTTACTCAGCCACATGGACAGGAGAGAAGTGGTCAACATCATCCCTAGTATGAGTCTGGGCAATAGAGCAGGTTAGCGACAGATGCATCACCTCAGGATTCACGTTGTCCTCCCTAAGGGATCCAGCCCACTTGTTTTATCATGTTTAATTTTATCACAATGTTTTGTTGTCTTGTACAGTGTTTGCTTGGAGAGCCAGAGAGGTGAAGTTACTGGCAGAGCTAGGGCCAAATCTACTTACCAGGCTTATTGTATAGGCAAGGAACCATGACTCAGTGTGTTCAAATGAACTGACCACAGATATACCCAAGGTAATACAGTTTCAATGATACCCCAAACCTGACATTTCCCTTCCCTTATCCCCAAATCCTTAATACCTCCCATTTCAAATTAAAGCTAGTTCAAGGTGGCACGAGAGTCTTGGTGTGGCACAGTAGGATGAACACTGGACTGCTAACCTCAAGGTCAGAGGTTCAAAACCACCAGCTGCTCCTCAGAAACCTTATACGCTACCAGGGCTGCTATGAGTGTAAGTTAACTCGACAGCACTTAACAACAACACTGAACAACACCAAGACTCTTCTCCATCTCTCTCCCCAGACAGCCTCCTAAGCTTTTTTGCCCCACTTCCTGCTTCTACTCCCATGCAAGTACTCCCTACAGACAGACAGCACTGAGCTTCTCACACGAACCCCAAAGTGCCCTGGACTCATCTGTCTCCCTGCTTGATGTCTTCCCACTAATGGGCATCCATTTTATAATCTAATTTTTACATTGAACTCATTCATTCACCTAGAATTTACTTAGATGCATAGTATGGGAGTGTGGTGGTTCTGTAAGATAAACACGGGACCGAGAACCACAAAGTTGGAGGGTTGAGCCCACCAGCTGCTATCCAGGAGAAAGATGAGGCTTTCTGCTTTTGCAAAGATTTACAGCCTCAGAAATCCTCTAACGGGTTGCTATGAGTCAGAACCAACTTGACGGGACTTAATAACAACAACAAATAGTATGAAGGGAGCCATGGTGGTGCAGTGGGTTAAGCAAGGGTGGTGGAAATTAGACTGTCGGTTCCTGTAAAGATTTATAGTCTCAGAAACCCAACTGAAGAAACCCTACTTTGTCTTACTGGGTCAGTAAGAATTAGAATCGTCTTGACACCAGTGGACTTAAAGTATGAAGTAAGAGCTAAATGGAGTTTCCCCCACAAAGAATAAACTAATTGCCAACACCCACAGTAATTATAAGGAGCTCTGGTAGCGCAGTGGTTATGAATCGGGCTGCGAACCTTAAGGTCAGCAGTTCGAAACTACCAGCTGTTCCGCAGGAGAAAGATGAGGCTTTCTGCTCCCGTAAAGATTTACAGCCTCGGAAATCCTGTACAGGGTTGCTATGAGTTGGAACCGACTCCACAGCACATAACAACAACAACTGTATGTATATACACTCTTCCTTTCCCCACTGATTTGGATTTCTTCAGGGGCCCTGGTGGCACAATGGTTAAGCGCTCAGCTGCTAACCAAAAGTTCAGTTGATCTACAAAAGCAAGATTATGGCAATCTACTGCCATAAAGATTACAACCTTGGAAATTTATGGGGTTTCTTTCTATAAGGCTGGACACGTTACCTGGCTGGCTGGATCCCAACAAACATCAGGACCTTGAGGGCGATTCTCCGGTGTAGATTCCACTCTTCAATGGCACTAGCCATGATCAGACCGCTGAGGAACAGGAAGTTGGTGTCCATGAAGTACTGGGAGCAGACTTTGTTGGATGGCAGGATGCCCATGAAGGGGAAAAAGATGATGGGCAACAGGGCCGTCACTGAGATGGGCAGGGCCTCCACACACCAGTACACCACCATGAGCAAGATGACAAACAAGCAGCGGCCTTCCTGCAGAGGGGGAGATGCATGCAGATGGGTGAGTAGAGCTTGGGATGGCCAAGCAGGAAGGAGTCCAGCCTGGGGGAGGGGGCATCAAGGCAGGTTTCTCAAGGAAGCATTAGTGTATGTAAGAGTCCAAGGCTTTGATTGTGAGAGGTGGCATCACCTTTCTGACTCTTCCTTTGCCACACAGTAAATGGAGCTAGTATCACTGCCCACTTCATAGGACTATTGGAAGATTAAATGAAACAACCCATCAACAGAAGTAGACCATAGAAGGCGAGTGGGGAAATGAGGCAGAGAAGAGGAAGACAATACAAAGTGCAGCTAGTCCATGACTTACAACAACGTTCCATGCTGATAACTCGGTTGCATGTCAGTTCTGACATAAATTGGCCCTAAGTCGAATACTGCATTTTTCATAAATAACATATCCACACAAACACCACGCACAAGCATATATAACACACATACCACACTTCAGTGTTGTTGTTAGATGCTGTGGAGTTGGTTCCAACTCTTATGCAAAACAGAATGAAATTCTGCCCAGTCCTGCGACAATCTCATAATCATTCTTATGCTTAAGCCCGTGGTTGCTGCCACGGTGTCAATTCATCTTGTTGGAGGTCTCCCTCTTTTCCCCTGACCTTTCATGTTACCAAGTAATGACCAGTCTCCAGAGACTGGTAGAGACTCATCTCTACTGATATTATGTCTGAAGTATGAGATTCGAAGTCTGGTCCTTTTGACTTCTAAGGAGCATTCTGGCTATACTCCTTCCAACACAGATATGTTTGCTCTTTTGGCAGTCCATAGTATTTTAAATATTCTTCCCCAACACCATAAATCAAATGCATCAATTTTTCTATGGTCTTTCTTATTCATTGGCCAACTTTCACATGCATATGAGGCAAGTGAACATACCATGGCTTGGGTCAGGTGCATTTTAGTCCTCAAACTGACATCTTTTCTCTTCAACACTTTAAGAGGTTTTGTGCAGCAGATTGCCTCTTGCAATACATTGTTGGATTTCTTGACTGCTTGCATGAGTGTTGATTGTGAATCCAAGCAAAATGAAGTCTCTGACAACTTCAATCTTTTCTCCATTTATCAAGATGGTATTTACTGATCTAGTGGTGAGGATTTTTGTTTTCTTTACATTGAGGTGCAACTCATAGCAAAAGCTGTGCTTTTTATCTTAATCAAAATACTTATTTTAAGTCCTCTTTGATTTCAGCAAGCAAAGTTGTATCATCTGCATATTGTAGGTTGTTAATGAGTCTTCCTCCAATTCTGAAGCCACATTTTTCTTCATATAATCCAGCTTCTGGGATTATTTGTTCAGTGTACAGATTAAATAAATATGGTGAAAAAACACAACCCTGGCTCACACCTTTTCTTATTTTAAACAATTCACCATCTGTTCAAACGAAGGCCTCTTGATCTATATACAGGTTCTTTGTGAAGAAATGAATTGTTTCAAACACTCATTCTCCATAACATTGTCCATAACAGATTATGATCCACACAATCAAAAGTCTTTGCATAGTCAATAAAGCACAGGTAAGCATCTTTCTAGTATTCTCTACTTTCAGCCAAGATCCATCTGATATTAGTAGTGATATCCCTCATTCCACATCCACATCTAAATCTGGCTTGAACCTCCTGCAGTTCCCTGTCAATGTACTGTTGCAGACATTTTTTAATTGTCTTCAGCTTCAATCTGAACTTGCATATAAGTAATTGATGGTCTGTTTCACGTCTGGCCTGGGCCTTGTTTTGACCAATTATATGGAGCTTTCCTAACATCTCTTTCCACGGATGTCGTCAATTTGATTTCTATGTATTCCATCTGATGAGGTTTGTGTGTATAGCTGTCTTTTATGTTGTTTTAAAAAAGGTATTTGCAATGAATACATCTTTGTTTTTGCAAAATAGTATCCTGTGATTTCCAGCATCATTTCTATCACCAAGGCCATATTTTCCAACTACTGGTCTTTCCTTTTTGTTTCCAACCTTTGCATTTCACTCACCAGTAATTATTAATACATCTTGATTGCATGTTTCATCATGAAGAAGTTGGTAGAAGTCGTCAATTTCATCATCACTGGCTTTAAAGGTTGGTGTGTAAATTTGAATAATAGTAGCATTAACTGGTATTTCTTGTAGATGTATGGATATTATCCTATCACAGACAGCATTATACTTCATGATAAATCTTGAAATGTTCAATTTGTTATTTTCAGCATAGTAAACCATGTACTATCAGGTTCAAAATGGCCAATACCAGTCCATTTCAGCTCACTGATGCCTAGGACACAGATGGTTATGCGTTCTATTTCTTTTTTGACAACTTCCAATTTTCCTAGATTCATACTTTATACATTCCCTGTTTTGATTATTAATGGATGTTTGCAGCTGTTTCTTCTCATTTTGAGTTGTGCCCCATCAGCTTTACTCCATTCGTGTCATCACAGTCAACTCTACTTTGAGGAGGCTGCTCTCTCCCAGTCATATTTTGAGTGCCTTCCAACCTGACGGGCTCATCTTCCAGCACTGTATCTGACAATATTCTGGTGCTTTTCAACATGCTTCAACATTCAGTATTCTGGGGCTATTTGACAGTGTTCCGCTGCTATTCATAAGGTTTTCCGTGATTAAACATTCAGAAGTTGTTTGCCTTTCCTTCTTCCTAGTCTGTCTTAGTCTGGAAGTTCAGCTGAAACCTGTCCACTGTGGA